TCTGTGACTGGATAACAGATTTCAGACAGAAAGCACTTGGCGTTGTCATTTCAAGAGAGAGAGAGCACGCTGGATTGAATCAAAGCTATGTCGAGCCTTGAAACGAAACTGTTTACTGATAAATAAGAGCAATATGGTAGTGATTAGACTGTTAAGGATGAAAATGATTACAGAATGATCCAATGAGCGTGGGGACTTAGCGCAGCTTAATCTTGAATAAAGAGAGATGGGTTTATGGTATGTTGCAGTTTGGCATCGCTCGTTAGAATGGGAATTTTCCGAGGCTTATGGATTACTCTGCGCTGGTGGACTGGACTGGGGCCAGGTCACAAATGGCAGAGGTCCAAAAATCAGATTAAAAATAAGCACGGCAGGAGCTAATTACGGGTGGAACAACCAATTAATTTCCATTTATAAACTCTCAAAGACTTGGGGTTCAGGGTGGGGGGTGCTGGGGGACTTGTCATGGGCAGGTGGTGTCGGTCCGTGTGGGACGGGCCTCGTATGTTCCACAGAGGGGTACTGCGTAAACAGAGTGGAAGAAAGGACAGCAAGTCCATCGCACAGCCAAATGGCACGCCTTCAAGAGTGCCGCTCCAAAAGACACTCCTCTGTCTAGACAGTGTTCGGGGATTCAGAGATTAAGTGGCGTTCTCTTAATCTTAATGGACGACAGATCTTCAGAAGGACAATTCACCTGCTGTACAATGTAGACTACACCTGATCATTTTATTCCAAAAATACAAAGATTGTAGCAGAAATAGCAGACTTTGAAAGCGAAAGTATAAAAAAAAAATGAATAACAACAAGGGGATGTTAAGGTATGATTAAGAGACGGGTTCATTTATCCTAATACTGATCACTGGTGTTGTTCATGGAGAGAAGTGACGTGTGGCAGAGGAGACTAGTGGGGATGTACCTTACTGGTGCAGTTTCCAGTGCACTGCAAATTACTAATACATGTTTTGCTGAACATACCAGAGATGGGTCTAGGTTCCTGGCCAATACGGCCCCTTTAAGTCTTAATGCTGGAGATAGGTAGTTCTAACCTAAAAAGAGCCCTGCCTCGTAAATTACTGTTTCAACCACCATTTTTCTTTTACTGTATTGCATTTAAAATGGGCTGCTGGAATGGACTGAAAGCCTACTTTCTTTGTAAATTGTTGGTCTTTGTTTTTTTTGTTTGTCATATTTTTGTATGTATGTGCCAGACGTAATCTGGTGATCGGTTTTGGGTTGATGTTATGCTCGTACTCCTGGTTTCTGCTTGTGTTCAGGTACTGATGTCTTTGTTTTGTTACTATATATAAAAAAAAAAACGTATGTACAATGTAGAGAGATGCACCAGCAGCCTTATTCACATGACAAAATGCCAGAAACCCTCAAACAAAAAGTAATTGAATTAGCCAATTTTTAAATGTATATATGTAATATAAAAAAGTTACAATTATAAGTCTCAATCAATTTTTTTAAATAGTTCTTACATTGTAAGCATCAAGACTAAGTAAGTAAGTAGGTTAATAGGGACATTTATGTTTATTCATTTATTCATAAACAAACAGGTTAGTATAATTAATGCTCACGTTATTATAGGCCAGGCCTAATCCCTATCACAGTTTCACAATGTGCAGAGAGGGAATCCGTGTCCTGACTCTCTGGCCACCAGCAGGGTCCCAGCTGCTTAAGAGCATTTCCTGTTACAGGAAGTAAACTAGTTCTACTCACAAAATCCTTACATGCTATTGAGGCATAGCAGTCGCTCATTGGTTCAGTCCCAAAATGAGGACATCTTTGGCCCCAAGTTCATCCACAAACAGTTTTTTGCTGCTACATATGATCCTGATCTTAATCTTGAGTTTGGCCCATTACCCTGCTTTCTTTAGCTGCCGTTATTTTGGGCTTTTGAACATCATCATAATTATTAATGTGGATAATCAAAGGGAAATCACTCAAATGCCGCTACTGTGTCGTATATGGCGGGGCTTCTGTAATCCTGGCGAAAGTAGCATTTTTTGCAAAACCAATGCCTGTGGGACATTGCTAGATATGCTACACTTATCAATGCATAGCCTATAATTGTTGTTCATGGCCAGCAACTTCTAAGCTTTCCAGCTCGACAGAGGGTTTCACGGTACCCTCCCCCCAGCCAGGTGGTGATTTACAGATGAAGTCAACGACAGCGTCTGTTTCACTGTAGTAATGCACACAGCTTTATCTCCGTATTGGACCTGGAACATCTGATCAATTTGGTCAGATATCTGGTCAGTCATGTCATGGTTTTTCTGTTGACACAAATAATAACTGCCTTGACCTTTTTGATTGGCTAGTGATTCCCCTGCCCTTAAAGAATATCAAGATTTGGGGAATGGAAAGAAGAGGAATCACTGATTCAGGGAAGGGTGTTTCTCTTTGGAAAGGTTTTAAGGAAGAGGGTAGTGAGGTGACAAGGGGCCTAAATTTATGACCCCAAGGTCATTGGTTCATATTCTCTAGGGGACTCTGGTCTAGGACCCTAATTTAAGATACTTAAAGATAATTGCACTCCGATGACGTCTGTCTGGGTACATCACAAATCTCTTCAGGCACAAGTGTCGACCAACCAATTTCTAAAGCTTTGGGGGAGATGAGATGTTTTGTGGCAAATTTATGAAGCCGTTTGAGATTTGCTGTTACGGTTCTTCTTCTCTAATATCTCAGCAACTGTTGCATTCAGCCAATAGCAGCTGTAAGTCGCTTAAATTTTAATAAATGCAAACGAGTCTTCATATGTGAGCCAAAGTTTAATTTGGAGCAGTTTCACTGACTGCATCTGTTCTCCTAGGAATGGGACAGAATATGAAAACACTTTTGGTTTCTAGTCTGCTGGGTGCTGATACTATATGTGAGTGAAAAAAATATGAATGCCTCTTATCATAACAGTCCTTTTTCAATGAAATCTTGTCTCACACCTGTTATTTTCGCTCATTATTACTTTGATTGGGAGTGTCTATGGATGAATCACTATCAGATTAGCTGCAATGCTAACTTATATAGAATGTGTGTTTCTGACAGATGTGCTTCATTTTCCCTCCAGTAATAAGCAAACCAGAATCAACAATTATATGTGCAAAAAAAAAGAAGTCACAGTTTTATGCTGGAAAATTGCTGTTATATTGTAATAGGATATTTATCATCTGGTACCATTTTCTACATGTTTATTTTTTTAATGTCAGCATTTGAAATGAAATTATTGTAATTAATTTAATTTATAATCGCTACATTTTTAGCTTCAAACAGATTTGTATTTTTCAGCCAGACATCTGTTATCCTTAGGGTCAGCGTCTTTGGTTGCATGTACTAGAAACATACAGCCTCACATTTTGGTACTTAGTGGGTAAAATAACCAGTGTTAGGGTTCTTGGTTGATCACTTCTATGTACAACCGGTAGCTAAACATTTTATGTTTGAAACATGATCAGTATGCATCACGCTGTGATTTTCCTTGATTTTATGTATTTTACTGGCTTGTCAATATATAGCATATTACAGGATTGCCGAAGGAAGCGTATTGGGCGTAAATCCAGGAAGTAGATGCAATCCTGGATGGTTGCATTGCTGTATTGCAGAAGCTAGTGTGATTGTTTGGACTCTCTAGGTGAGCTGCATTTCCCTCCCTCTTAATGCCAAGCCCCTTACATCACCCCCTCCCCCCCCACCACATACACACACACACACACACACACGCAAACACACACACAAACACACACACACACAGTTTGTTGAATGGTTGTGACATCACTGGGTCACGATTGGTCGGCCAGCCTTCAACTGGCATCGACACCGCCCACAGTCCTGACATCAGCATGAGAGCCTGCGCTCTTCATTGGCTGCTGCGAAGGGGCGGGCTCCGGCGGCGGCGGGCTCTTATCACCTGCGTGCAGCTGCGGACATCCCTTCGAGGGGGAGGGAGGGACACGGAGTGGAGAAGGGAGAGAGACTGAGAGCGCACTGCCTGCCGCCATTCTTGGTCTCTCAGGCTGGCCTGGCTTCTCCAAGCCTTTGAGGACGCGAGTAGAAAAGGAGAAGATGCACACAGACTGCAGTGCTTTCCACAAATGGCTGCTATCTATGTCTGTGCGTCACATGTGTGAGCGTCTGTGTAGAAGGAGTATTTATTCACTGATTGTGTAAACATTGATTATGCACTATACAGAAATGTCTGCTACTGGCCTTCATTAACAAACCATAAACAAACCATTTTTATTTTTTAAGTGTTAATGGTCTAATTGCACAAGAAAATACACTTTCAGAGCTGACAATATCATTGTTTCTGTCACTGCTTTTTAAATGGTCATCTCACAAAATTTGGTGTGTTTTGTAAAATTTTATACAAATGCTTCTTTGAGACTCGGATTGAACAAAAAGCCACACTTCCATGTTGACACCTTTCAGCACCAATCTGTGCAAATCTCTCAGTTTCAAAACTGAGATCACCTTGATTTAATTATCATCCCCTGAATTAGTAATTTTCTCCACAATAAGCTGGCTTTTAAGTGGGATTTTCCTCGTAATGCCTCATGATCATCTGGAATGTTATTTTTTAGCGTAATGTTCTTTTGATGCAGTAATGGCTTCTTCAGTTTTCTCTCAAGTCTAGTAATCAGCTAAGGAGAGGAAACCATTCATTGTAAATTAATTGCCAACTACCTGCACAAACATATGTTATTTAAATTTCTATATTTATATATGACTAAATGGATTGGATGCCACCGGTATTTTCATATTTTGTAGTTGCTATGCTTCCTGTTCGCTGTACTGTTTTGAAATTAAACTAGTGTGTTCACATTTAACAAGTAATGGCAGACTTTGATTTGCACTGCTGATTAGGGTGCACGTATAAAGAATAATTTGGTCTCAAAACAGTAATGGTTAAAATATTTATTTAAACAGAAAAATGCCTTCTTTACAACCGCTGTGAAATGAAAAATAGAAAGAAAAGAAAAATCTGAATTGATTTTCCTGTTAGTTTCAGCTGTACTTTTTGTTGCCATGGAGACTTGGTCAGGTTCCATGGACCTCCTAGGGCAAAAGTAATTGTTGTCTGTTTCTCAAAGCCAAATTCTACTTTCAAATAGTTCACCTACAGATCAAATAATAACCATTTTGAAGGATATATTCCTGGTGGCAGACTCTTTGGCCAAGTTTTTATTTGCTATGGAGGCTTTGTGAGTCTGTCTGTTAGGCGTATTGCATCCCAGTAATGATGGAATCCTGAGACACATTACATAGCACAATTTAAGGCAAGCATGGAGGGGTGAATCCAAACAGCATTTTGTTTTTAAGCTATATTTGTCTTGATGCATGATTGGGTAGGTATAATTTCAATCACAAAGTTCTCCAAATTTAAATTTACTCCTGGCTATCCTGGAAGGCAGAAACACGCTTTCCATATACAGTTGTGATGTGTCTTAGGCCTATTCAGGAGGACAACATGCAGAAGCACCCAAAAATTTAATCAGGACAGCGGTGGAATGATGAATATGTAAACGGTGCTGGGACAGGGGTGACCGGAGAGGAGATGCACACCGGGACACTTCGCAGTGGGAATTCACCTTGATAGAAAGGCCGTCTGCCAACGTGAAGGACGCTGCCGCATCTGCCAATCCTAATGGCCCCGTTCCTCAGCCCCCCCGGGGTTTCTGTGGGTGTTGTGGCCGCACGCCCTGAACAGGGGGGCCAGTTGCGCTCTGAGGAATTGAAGAAGATGCTGCTTGTTAATAATTGAGAGACAGAGAGAGCGAGCGAGCGAGAGAGAGAGAGAGAGAGAGAGATGCTCACTCACAATTCCTGCAGGAGTAATTAGCTAAAATTGTGGGAATCTCGTGCCGTCGAGAGCACGCTTACTCAGTGATGCGCTTGTGTATTGAGCATTTTGGTTTGAATCAGAGCTCCTGCCGCGTGATGTTTGTCTTCTCCGTGTTCTGGGGCTGGTGCCTTCTGCAAAGGAGCTGTCCGCACCCTCCACTGCAAATCGAGTGTAATTAACGCCCAGCCGATCAAGGCATTTTATGCAGCTGCAAGGGAGCTTCAGGCCTGACGTGATGACCTTCTTTTTTGCTCTGGCCCTTCCCTGTTCCTCCTCCTTTCCTTTTTTTCAGTCAGTCAAGTTCTCGGGTAATGACAGAACCGGTTGTACTGTTCTCTGTCATGTCTCTGACAAGCTGAGGACCCAGTAGTGTGTACAAGGTCTTAAAAGCTGTACATGTACACGATTCTTTTTGCTGGAACACTAATGTTGGAACACTAGAACGCATTAGGTTCCTAAATCCCCAAAATAACATGCACCATGTAAAGAATAAAAGGGAAGTAACACAATATTCACCACTTTGGATATTTTTGCATCACTTATTGTTTTCCCCATTTAATCCAGTTAAAAGGGACCTTCTGTTTCATGTTTATTATACAAATAACAATGGTACACGATGTCCTGTTCAAGGAATATGTAAGGTTATTACAGGGCACAAATAAGAGAAAGAATGCAGCGTAAATAGAGAAACACATCACACATCTTTCTGTTTTGTGTGTTCTGTTCTTGCTAGGTGGCTAATCTGCAGGGTGAGTGTCATGTTATCAAACGTGATGCTCGTCACAGAAGCACACAACAATTAAATATTTTTAATTGCTCCTGTTAGCTGGATTGGAGGGATTAGTGGCATACAATAGAGACGTATTCAGGACTATCAAAGCAGAGGAGAAGTATGACGTGAAGGTGTCAGACTGGTAGGTTGGTAGGTTTCCGTTTGAGCTTCCTTGTTGAAAGGACTTTTGGGTTGTATCACGTCTCCTTCAAGTCTACTGCCAAACTATTTAATTTGGTCACTCATAATAGAATAACAGACCCCCATCCCCACATGATTCTACTGAGTAAGCAGTTTGAAGATGGATGGATGGACATATGGGTGGGTGGATGGATGGACATATGGGTGGATGGATGGATTGATGGATGGACATATGGGTGGGTGGATGGATGGACATATGGGTGGATGGATGGACATATGGGTGGATGGATGGATTGATGGATGGACATATGGGTGGATGGATGGATGGATGGATGGATGAATGGATGGATGGATGGCTAATAAATTGCATCTTGGCCATATTGACATATAATGAGTTACCTATGGTGTCATATATGCATGAATTAACAAAAAATATATAGATGGACTAATGGGGAAATGGATTTTATGAATCTTATGAATATGCACTGTTTGTTTTTAATTTTCATTATTTGCATCAGGAATTCACCTCCCTCAGTGTGTTTCAGAGATGACATTTTAAAGGTAGCTGAAATTCGCCAGATAAAGGACTGTCCTGAGCGTGGGAATTCAACGAGTCATGTGATCTCCCGTGAGTCTGGGGTATCTTTGACTGCTCCTCTCAGCTGGGGGGCTTCAGATGTAAAGATTGGTGGGCTAACCCTCTTGTCCAGGTAGCTGGAGAGTAGGCGGGTCTCATGCACCCTCCCTGCTTTGGATCCAGCCTCGGTTACTGCACCGTTGGAATAGTGAGAGAAGAATTCTGCTGGTATGGCTTCCGTTGGCCTTTTGTGGCTCAGAAGATGCTAACAAGTGATACAGAAGATGCACAAGCAGGTCCCTACATGGGTTTCCCCGTGGATCATGAGCATATCGCTCAGCAATATGTCCACGTGGTTCCTTAAACATTTCGTTTTTGATGTTGCTATCAAATGTGGCGATTCACATGTTGATATGCATTATGTGCGTCAGTTGGATCTTCAGACGATGCTTTTGATCGCACTAAGAAAAACTACTTACACTGTACTGTGTGCAAACAAGCCCCTCTACATGCGTGCAATCACACACACACACACACACACACACACACAGGTCTGTAATTATATCTTTGTGGTGACTCTCCATTCATATCTATGGGGAAAACTCTAATCTCAACATGACGACCTTAACCCCTACCCAGCCCTAACCTTAACCATAATTAACCAAACAAAATACGAGACTTTTAGCATTTTACTTTTTTGATTACATTCACAGACCTTTGTGGGGACCTGAAAAATGGTCCCCACAACGTGAAAAAAATGGTTTTTATTACATTGTGAGGGATATTCAGTCTCCTACAAAGTACTATAAACCTAATCACACACACACACACACGCACACAGTTGCAGCCACCTGGTGCATAAATAAACAAATATTATAACTGCAAAAACTAACAATGACAATTTGCCAATAAGGAACTCAAAATGTTCCATCTGTCTTCCAAGTGACTGAAGCAGTGGTAATTAGAGCTAATTTCTTCTCTAATTGCTAGGCTATTAGCTCAAAGCTATCCCACCAAACCGTGTGTCTGTGCAAACTGGGTTGGAGCAATCACACCCCACCTTCAGTCCGCCGTAGTGAGACTAAGGAGACCAGATCAGACTTAAATCTTTAGTCCTCCGTTTTACAGCTCAGCACCTATGCTCTCAAGATGACGAGGAAGAGACACATGTGGAGAGTTTGTTGCTAAAAGGTTACTTTAAGCGTAGCACTTTGAGCTTGTAGCGACACAGGCAGACTAGGATAAAACATGTTTTTTTTGCCATTGTATTCTCTACAGTTCTGTGCTGTTTTTTGATCATCAAAACACATCTTTGCAGACAAGATGTATATATCTAATTCAATTAAATTATAGCTATATATGTTTATCTTCTGGGTTTACATTAATTTTAATCTTAATTTAGCAAGCTTATGTACATATTTTCTATTATTGGTTTTTTTTTCCCGCAAAAAATAAATAAAATGTATCTCCATCTGATCTTTCAGCCTAAACAGTGTGCATTGTGATACCTGCACCATCATTCTTCCCATTGTCTGCGTAATAGAGAGACCCAAATAGCACATAATAAAATCAAATTTCTCTGAAGAATACATCCGTATGTTAAAGCTAGGAGATCATTTGAAGGGGGTGGGGGGGGGGGCTCTCTGAAATGCACTATTAAAACAACAAGTAAAACAGACATTTTAAAACCAGCCATTGTGCCTAGTGGACAGACAGAGGGTGCATAACCAGCAATTCTTCTGAAATGGGAAAGAATCTATTTGCTTACGGAAGGCGTTTGTATAATCCGTTAGTTACACTTGGCAGCTGTGAGCAAAGATATGGCACTGTGGGATTTTGCATAAATATCATTCTGAGGACAAAGAAAGAAAACTGATAAGCACTGGTGTTTGGGGTCCTTTGCATAATCCCGGCTAATCCATAATCTGAGCTGAGAAACACTGAGATATTTAGAGAGTGGGGAGAAAAATACCACATTAATGAGGGCATATACCCGTTGTTACTCTTTCCAGTGCTGCCCTATAGGATAGCTTCAGTAATTAAATAGGCAAATAATTTAAAAAATCCCAAAATAGCAATGCATTCATATACTGAGCACAGCTCCAATTTAAAATACTTGAAACCTTCATTTATCTAGATTTCAAGCTTATTTGAAGTAGTTACCAGTTGGAATGAATTTTTAAACCCTTCTGATGTTTTTTTTCCCTTTGGTGATGGACGGCTAAAAGCACATTACTTGAGCTAATATAGAAGAATAAACAAAAAAAAAACCCCACAAACTGGTCATTTATGAAGATGATTTCTTTGCTTTCCTGCTTATTTTTCAAAAAAATGAAGGTGACAAAGAGGAATATCTTTAAGGTGAAACACATTACAATAAATTTGAAAAGCAAGGCATAATGAAAGGATCAATGCTGTATATTGATTTTATGTAAGTGTTAAGGGGTTACTTTATAACTGGTAGAAACCACTGCAAGAGGCTTAACGCAATAACTAGCAGCTGCCGATTGGACAATTCGGGTCACATGCTTGTCGACTCGCCATCTTTGTTGTACTTGAAAGTAAATAGCTTGGGGAAATAAGGAAAATTGAAGGGACAGTGAGGGAAAGAGACAGACATTCATCTCTGAGAAAAAAAAACTCATAATAAACAACTCTTTATAGGGGAAGATGCCCTTTTAACAATGTTCTTTTTATTAATGGGCCCAATTTTTTTCCTTAATTTTCTTTCTGGTTTAGATGGTTTTGCGCCAAGCCTTTCCATCACCAGCTCAATACGTGCCCCATGTGCTGTAACTTAATGGGCAGCTGCTGAAATTGTGTTTGTTGAGAGTGTTGCAGGCTAAAGTGTCAGAGTGCCCTTACCTGCCCCCCCTTACCGAAACAGCCCCCGTTAACAGCGATGTACAACACAAACACTGATAGCGAGACGAACAGGCAGAGCAAAACATTTTATGCAATATAACTGTAACAAGGAATCATTCTGACACCTTTATCTTTTACTGTTTTTAGGTATACAAATGTAATATCTAATATTTAAGGGTATTGCACTGCAAGGGTTGTCTTGGATATTTTGGGAGGCTTCTCACGGCGATATGTGAGACAAAGAGAAAAATTATCTAAAAATTCAGGAAAGCCAACAGATGTAAAAAGTGATGAAAAGGAGTGTCAATAATGGTGTCATGGATGACCAGATCCATACTCTAGGCAACAGAAGAAGGGGGGTTATGGGTAGTGTCAGTGTCAGGTGAATTTAGTCTCTATCAACAAATCAGTCAGAATTTAAATATTTACATTAATACCTATTTATAAAAAGGTATACTTTATAGCCATTTTATCATGCATCATGAATGCTCTATGAAGCTCTCGCTTATTATGCCCTATAAATACCTTCATAATGCATTATAATGGCTTATACTGACCATTTTAATGCATTATGAAGGTATCTATAGTGCATTATAGATGAGCGCTTCATAGAGCATTCATAATGCGTAATAAACACAACTGCGATGTGTTATGCCTTTTTATTAATAGCTATAGCCATGTTTATAATACTTTATAAATTCATTATAATGCATTATGAAGGTATCTATAATGTATTATGATGACTGCTTTAAGTAAAGTGTTACTGAAAGAACAATTTTGCATTAGAAATAGACAAAA